TTAAGAGTTGGTAAATCAATCGGAATATATGTACCTTAAACTAATGACCTAGCTTAAGAGTTGGATAGAGGTACCTTAAACTTGAACTAGTTTAAGAGTTGGTAAACATCAAATAAATTGGCCTTAGACTAAGAATAGTTTAAGGATATTATTGAATGAGGATGTTGAATGTTGAATATGAATATTGAATGACGAATGTTGAATATTGATTATTGTATATTTGAACTGAATACTCTGTGCATGATATCAAATGATTTGATTATGAATTTGGATTCAATTTATGTGGATGTTCGACGCTTTAGATATGCTTACTCAGCTTCACCGCTGAGCGTGTAGTGTGTTTTATTTGCTACACGCAGGTAGGCAGAACGAGTAGTTGACATGTTCCTGGCAGCAGAAGGAGCGAGGCGATCGTGGTGGATTTATGATTTAAAATGATTAAATTAAATTGTTATGAGACATGATTTAAATTGCTTCCGCATTATGGTTAAAAACTCCGTAATTTATTACTGTTATGAATGGAATATTATTTTATGATAAATAAAGATGTTAAAATGTTTTAAATTTTTACGATTACCAAGTTAATACTTTAGTCCAAAAGGGGCTGCAGACCTGGACGGATTAGGGTGTTACAGAAAGAAATATATTCAAAACTAACTTCATTTTAACTTATCATAAACAAACAATCATGTGAAATTTATTTAAGTAATTGAAAACTTTATTAGAAATGAAGAAAAAATATTGAATCATGAAAAAGTATTATTATAAAAATGAATATAAATATTTCATAATTAAATTTGTTCAAAGATTTCATACCAAAATAGTTTTCATATTTTATGTCTCAAATAATGTGTCATATTAGGTGTAAAAAGCCACATAAGTAATGCATATATTAACTTTCTAAACATAAAAGTTTAATCAATTTATATAAAGGATTTATTGAATATTTTTATTCTTAATAACTTAATATAAAGGATTTATTGAAAAATGACTTTTAATAATTTTATTTTTGATCAAAAGTAAAAGTTTAATCACATGTCAAATAATATTTAATGGAGTCTAGCTCATAAATCAAATGCCACATAATATATCCCATATTTTACCACATGTATACCCCATATTCTGCCACATGTCAAGTTCTTATGCATCAAACACTCAAATTTATACTCCCTCCGTCCCACTAAGATGTTCTCATTTTGACTTTTGGTGGTTTTTAAGGAGAGTTGAAAAAAGGTGAAAGTTTACCATAATACCCTTAATGAAAAATGGATGGAGTGTATTAAATGAGGTGGGTGAGGTGTAATAAATAAAGTAAGTGGGGGTAGTTGTGGTATTTTAATTGTTAAAAAATGAAATGAGAAGATCTATTGTGGACAATGAAAAAGGGCTATTGAGAAGATCTATGAGGGACAGAAGGAGTATATAATAAAGGAAAGGATTATTCAATGGGATGGGAGGCAACTTTTGGGATTCTTAATGCAATATTTAATTTGGGACCATGCTAGTATGCTACACTTACACCAAAAATTGTACGCCATTTATACACCGCCGTTATACACAAACATTTTGATGGTTTATACCGACACAAGTGTTGATGCGTTAACAAAAATTTACACGGACACTAAGTGTTGGTGCGTTAACGCAAATTAATTTTACACCAACACAAAATGTTGATGCAAAGCTGCAGTGTACAAATGAGGTACAAAAGGTTGGGGTACAAGTAGCTTTGTCCTTTAATTTGTTGCTAAAAACTCTTCGTATATTGATTTTTAAAAAAATTAAAAGAGTATTGATGGACTTTATGGATGTGACTTGTGAGTAGTACAAACAATAGAGAGGAATCTATCGCCCATATCCTTAGTCAAACATGCCCATATGCTATGTTAATTACATATGTCCTCTTCTAATCAATGGTTTTAAAACCGGACCAGACCGGCCTGTTTGACCGGTCGGACCGTGAACCGGTGAGCTTCCCAGTTTGGTCCAATATCAAAACCCAGTTTTCTTTTGACCCATTGGAAACCGGTAGACCCGGAAAAACCGCCGACCAGGGTCGACCCATCCTAGCTGCGGGTTTCCAATATTTACGCTTTTTTTTGTTTTCAAAACTCAAAAGGGAGATCTGTCTCTTCATTTTCTTCTTCTCATACGCCTCTCTTTCGCGAGTAGCAGACCACTGCCAATTTGCTGCTCTCTCGATTTCATCCTCACTCTTCATATTTTGCATTGGAATCAATAGCAATGCTCTGAAAACCGGACCGGATGTCGCCTCGGACGAAGGATTGTGTCAAGGGCTAACCGGTTGAACCTGTGTCAACTCGAGTCAACGACCCAGTCAACGGTGTACATGTGCTTCCATAAAAAAGAAGTAAATGTATACTATGTTACAAAATATTTATTGTTCTTAAGTTTCAAAAATGATGTTTGAAGCATACATTCAATTCGAAGATAATATATTGGCACATTGCACTAATATTTATACTCCATATAGGATTAAACAAAATTCAAAACTCAAAAAGTAATTGTACCATGTTTTTATGTTTTTAAAAAAAAGTTTGTAATTACCAAAACCAACATCATCATTCCAATTTCCGTTCATCCCACTGTCAAATCCTCAACTTCATCAAGAATTGTGAGCTCTTGATCATCATCATTGTTGTTTCCATCATCAAGTTCTGCAACAATATAGTGGAAAAAATTGATGTAAAAAATTTATATATACCAATACCTAATTGATGCAAATAATTTAAAATAAAATTTGAAAAGAAAGAAAATAAATATATCCTTAAGAGGTAACAATATACCCGTAACTCTTGAATCTGATGGCATATAATCCCTAGGTTCAATCTCTTCAAGCATCTCCTCTAATTCATCATAACCAAGCTCTCCTTCTTGCTCTTCCTCCACAACCCAAAACTCGTTTTTGTCAATCGATTCATAATCAACTGGGTCATATGATCTCTTTGCATCTTTGAGCCTTAGAGTTAAATACATCATTTAAATAAAGTGAAGATACTTATACATTTTGTAATTTGTTAAAGCTACGCTACACAGAAGATCATTTATGAGAAGATAATTTTGTAAATGGAATAAGAAATTAGTATGAAACATACCTATTTTGCAAACGTAGGTTATAATGAACATACACAAGGTCATTAAGCCTTTGATGCTCTAGGAGGTTCCTCTTTTTGGTATGAATTCGTTCAAAAACACTCCAATTTCTCTCACTACCAGAAGAAGAAGCAGTTTGGCTAAGAATTTGAATAGCCAACTCTTTTAAATTTGGAGCATTGCCACCAAACATTCTCCACCATTCATCTATTGCAAAAGAAAAAATATAGCAAAGTAATGAGTTAAAAGTTTAGATACTAAGTTTTAAAAATAAAGATGCATCATTTATATATGTTTTTTACCCGGGCGTGAATCATGTGATGTCGTAATTGCAAAAGCACTTCCAAAAGATCCCAATCTCTCGCGAAATAATCTGATCTCATCCAATGTCTTTCTCTTATCTCCCACATTTTGAGTGCTAATGACATGTAAAAGCCCTTCCAAGACTTTGGGCTCTTTATTACAAACACTTGATGGATCATATTGAGAAGCTGGATTCAAATAATATGAAGCGGCATGAATATTTTGTTAGGCTTGGTTTGCTAAGCCTCATGTTTTGATGTTAACAAACAATATAAGAGCTTAACGTTTGTTTAAGTGTTTCAGGTAAAACAAGAATCCATTAAGATTCGGTACTCAAGAACGAAGTCGAAACACTAAACTAGCGTAGAATATAGGTAGAAACCGATGTAAGGATATGACTTTATATACCTATATTCACAAGCTCAAAAGCACTCACAAAATATGTTTAAAACCATCCCATAAACATTTTCAAACATCTAAAAGGTTTTAAACTCAAACACGAAGGATTAAGGGAATTTTGGAAAAATCAGGACAGTGGC